GGTGCCAACGAAACCTCTATAGCCCCGCCTCCTGTCACAGGCGGAGTCATACCAGATGCACTCCCCGCCTGTGAGGAATCCATAGTGACAGCGCGCTTCCCTCATTCTGGCCAGCGATTGGTTACCAAATTCCTCCTGGAGAGGTGCGGCGCCCCGATCACCGTATTCCTAACTTTGCCATTTTGGATTTGCATTAACTTTAGATTGTTGTACATTATCTTCTTATTTTCGGGGGAAACACGGTAGATATGGACCCCGGAACCCCCCTCCCCCATCACCAGGACTTAGATGCGTGTGTGCCCACCCCTGTCCTAGTGATCCTGCCACTAACACACTTCCTGTCCCTCAGTGTCCACACTCTTCTCTCCATCATACAACAGGCGGGTGTTGTCATAGTTGTCACACAGGGTGCTCTGTATACTTTAGTGGTCCCCTGTACAGTGTGTATAGTGGTATATTCTCAGGTATCCCCCCCCTGTACAGTGTGTATAATGGTATATTCTCAGGTATCCCCCCCTGTACAGTGTGTATAGTGGTATATTCTCAGGTATCCCCCCCTGTACAGTGTGTATAGTGGTATATTCCTGCTCATTCCGTGACACAGTTGCGGTCGGAAATACACTCGGGGTAAATACCGTTCGGTACGAACACTCACCCGCGCTGTCAGTAACCTTCCCCAGGACGCCGCCATCTTTGCTGTTCAGACAGAATCTAGCGCCACTCACTGTCAATCAGGGGGGCGGAGATAGAGTCCTATTGGTTGCCCAGTTTACATCGCTTGATATTCCCGTTCCGTGGGCGGAGCTAGAGACTTTAGTGGAAGGCGGGGACAGAGAAGAAGAGGAGTGTAGGAGGGGACAGAATGGGGCGGGGTCTAGGGGGACCTGTGGGAGGAGGCTATGTCTGGTGGGTCCTGAAGATAGCCTCGTGGGCCCCTGGGACGTTTTAAGGGGCTCTTATGAGATTATGGGGGCTCCTGAGAACAGGCAGAGTCAAGGGGCTCATAATTACCTGGTTTGGGGGCTCTAGAGGACATTCTGGGGGCTTCTAAGGAAAGAGTTGGTGGTCTAGGGGCTCCTGAGGACATTCTGGGGGGGTCTGGGAGCTCCTGAGGACATTCTGGGGGGGTCTGGG